GAATAAGTAGACTCGTCCGCGAAGAAATACGGCTCAATGTTGGATGACAAAGTATGTCCGGACAACTTGGACCGGACATATGCAAACGTTTTGAGGGTCGGTGTTGGAGATGCCCTTATGACTTTAGTCTAGTGCTATGATCTGGTCCTTGCAACTTTAGCTTAGGACCTCCCTACCAAGGTTTTAAATTTCAAAAATAAAACAATTTCGAAGCTCCCCGAAATATGTGAAAATTTGGAAGTTTTACATGTTTTGAAATTATTTTGGGTCTTTAGATTTCAAACATCAGTTAATTTTAACCTAATTTGAAATTATTTTGAAATTTGTTGAATTTGGTAGGAATTTCATGGTTAAAAATATTTCAGGCCCCACCGAAATATGCGTAATTTAGTTGAATTTTTCAACCCTGCTCCCTCCACATTATTTGTGGCCGGGGTCTTATACGGCTAAAAATAAAAGGAGTTAAGACCAATATTCTTTACCCAATTGGAGAAAACTAATTGTACCCCTTTTAACAACGCGGAAAGGGCAGTGCACCGGCCCCTGGGGGAATGGCTGTGATGGCTCGCACTGCGTTGGACCGCGTCAATCGACCTCCCAACCGCTCCGGCTCGTGCTCACTGACGCGCGCCATTAAAGCGATGAGCACAGCAATGCCGCCCGCTTCTAGATTCCCAGAAAAAGAAAACCAGCTGCTTGCGGCTCGCTAGCCATGGCCAGCTTGCTGCCGCCGGTACACAGTACAATACCAGTGGCGTACTGCTCGCTCGCCAAGCTCTCACGAGCCCGCATTAAAGGACACACACTGGAGCTCGCATTCATGGCTCCTTTCAGATGGTAGATGGCTCGCATTTACGCCCGCCACAGTGCTCTCGTCTCCCCCCGTCTCGGCCCGGCCCGCTATATATCGCTCCACCCACTCCGCCATTGACAACACTCCTCACCTCCCTAGCTAGCTCATCCATCGAGCTACCTCCTAGCCTAGGTACGTACTTACTGCATGTCATTCCTCGTCCTCCAGTAGCTAGCTTAGCGGGAGACATCCATCGGTCGCCAGGGAGAGGGGTCGAGATCGGGAGCTGGTCGGGCTCGAAAAGGAGGGCCGCGCGATGGACGTCAACGACGTGCTGCTGCTGGCGTCGGCGGTGGTGCTGGGGCTGGTGTGGTGGCGGCGGTGCTCCAAGACGGGCGGCGTCGACGGCCTCCCTCCGGGCCCGCCGGGGTGGCCGGTGGTGGGCAACCTCTTCCAGGTGATCCTGCAGCGCCGCCCCTTCATGTACGTCGTCCGCGACCTCCGGGAGAAGTACGGGCCCATCTTCACGATGCGCATGGGCCAGCGCACCCTCGTCATCGTCACCGACGCCGACCTCATCCACGACGCGCTCGTCAAGCAGGGCCCCATGTTCGCCAGCCGCCCGGCCGACAGCCCCATCCGCCTCCTCTTCAGCGTCGGCAAGTGCACCGTCAACTCCGCCCCCTACGGCCCGCTCTGGCGCGCGCTCCGCCGGAACTTCGTCGCCGAGATCGTGTCGCCGCAGCGGGTCAAGGGCTTCTCGTGGATCCGGGAGTGGGCCATGGGCAACCACCTCCGCCGGATACGCGCCGAGCACGCCAAGACCGGCGCCGTCCGCATGATGGCCACCTGCCGCCTCACCATCTGCAGCATCCTCATCTGCATCTGCTTCGGCGCCAAGATCCCCGACGAGCTCATCGTGGAGATCGAGGAGGTGCTCAAGGACGTGATGATGATCTCGCTGCCCAAGCTCCCGGACTTCCTGCCGCTCCTCACGCCGCTCTTCCGGAGGGAGCTCGCCGAGGCCAAGAACCTGCGCCGGCGGCAGCTCAACTGCCTGCTGCCGCTGGTGCGCGCCAGGCGGGAGTTCCTCCGGACCGGCGGCAACGCGTGCAAGGCGCCCGGGGAGGGGAACAGGGTGATCGGCGGCGTGGAGATGATGAGCCCGCCCGGGGAGGCGTACGTGGACTCGCTGTTCGACCTGGAGCCGCCGGGCAGAGGGAAGCGGCTCGGCGAGGAGGAGCTGGTCACGCTCTGCTCCGAGGTGATGAGCGCCGGCACCGACACCAGCGCCACCGCGCTGGAGTGGGTCATGATGCACCTCATCCTCGACCCGGCGGCGCAGGAGAGAGTCTACGACGAGGTCGTCGCCAAGGCCGGCAAGACCGCCCGGATCACCGAGGCCGACGTCGAGGCCTTGCCATACTTGCAGGTGATCAATCCATCCATTCCCATTCGAGCATACTCTTCACTGTTTATCTTTTGACATCATTAACTCTAGCGCCAGATCAATCAATTTAGCAAATTGCTTACTAAATGCCCTGAAAGTAGACATTTGGCATTTGGGCAAAATCAATTCTACGAAATTGTTGCCCCTAAAGTAGAAATTTGGCATTACCCTAGAGAGAAGTTCACTTTAGCACCAAGACACATCAGGAACATGAACTGATAATCACTAATAGCTGATCGATCAGCTAATTAATCAACAAAACTTTCACAGTTTGTGATTGGAACACAAGTGTCACACCATCACCATCGATCGATCGGTCCCATGTTTGCTTTCCTTTTCCTGTTGAAGGACCATCACCACACCTGCGAACCAAGATTGCGGGTACTAATTAAGGATAGTTGACGTAGGGATTAAACTAAGCAGACACTCCTGCAGCTGGCCACTCAAGTGTAGCTGGTATCCAAATGATCACTCATGACCGATGATTTGGACACGAAAACAGATATGAAAATGACGTTTGCTAGCTCATGAGTGAGGCATGGTCAACTGAAAGCGACCCACAGAGTACTAACATGCAAAAAAAGAAAGCTCCAATTTTCGGCGCCAGCAGCCCAGCACTTTTCCTAATTATGGCGACAGTTTTCTACGGCGGCGTGCGTGACTGAATATTTTCTTGGCCGCAGGCGGTGGTGAAGGAGACGTTCCGGCGGCACCCGCCGAGCCACTTCGTGCTGTCGCACGCGGCGACGAGGGACGCGGAGCTGGGCGGGTACCGGGTGCCGGCGAACGCCAGCGTGGAGTTCTACACGGCGTGGGTGACGGAGAACCCGGAGACGTGGCCGGACCCGGACGCGTGGCGGCCGGAGCGGTTCCTCGAGGGCGGCGAGGGCCACGACACCGACATCACCGGCACGCGCGCGCTCCGCATGATGCCGTTCGGCGCCGGCCGCCGCATCTGCCCCGCCGCCACCCTCGGCGTGCTCCACATCCAGCTCACGCTCGCCAACATGATCCGCGAGCTCCGGTGGACTCCCCCCGCGGGCGAGGGCCCCCCTGACCCCACCGAGACCTTCGCCTTCACCGTCGTCATGAAGAACTCGCTCCGCGCCGGCATCGTCAAGCGCAACCAGCCGCCGCCGGTGGCCGCGAATTGATTTCCTCCGTCGACCCGGAATGCACGGCGCGGCGCGTACCACGTCACGGATAGGTGACTAATGGCGGGGTGTCATGCATCATCAAGAAGATATAGATAAATACTACTGCGTGACATCGGATCTGCTAGTGGCTGCTGCTCGTTGGGCATCATGATGCAATGCGACCTCTCTTAAATTTTAGCGTCATGTAATTTTATTTTCTTCTCTGCTCTGCTCTTGATTAGTGCACGATCCCCTTCTCTTCTTCTTTCTTCTTCTCTTGAATTCTTGATTTGATCCACAAATGTACCTATAACCTGCTGCTGTTCGTTGGAGTATATTTTTGTTGCCATATCCTTGGAAGAGAAACATTAGCCAATTTTAGGCGTTTTGGAAGACAGGCTGCATGGATCCTGTTATTTACAACAACAACAACAACAACAACAACAACCTCAACAAAATTAAAAAAAAAATCAAACTTTTCACTTTCAAAAAAAATTGCAAAAAAATACTCCCTCCGTTTTTTTAGTTTGCATATAAGCTTTGGTCAAAGTCAAGTTTTTAAAAGTTTGACTAACTTTATATTGAAAAATATCGTCATTCACAATATGAAATCAATATTGTCAGATGCACCATGAAATGTATTTCCATACTATATAGTTTTAGTATTATAGATGTTCATATTTTTTGATATAAATTTGGTCAAACTTTGTGTAGTTTGACTTTGACCAAATTTTATACGCGGAGTAAAAAGAAACGGAGGGAGTACAACTATAAAAGGATGTAATGAGTGTGTGTAATGAGTATTTCACGATGAAATATCTTGAATTGCGTGCCTTTTTTTCAGCACCCATTTTAATGTATAATCATGAAATTGTACACACGTGTAAATTATGTCTGTGGATGTATATGTTGTTCTGTTTTCAGAATTTACTGAAACACAAAAGTATGCTTTTTAAGGAAAAAATGTCCTCCATGGAGCTCAAGCTCCACTTAGCATTTCCGCATTTTAAGTTCCTACTACGGTACGAAGGCTGGTACTGCAGAGTTCCGGCTCTGCTTCAGTTAGAGCAAATGAATGAACCACATTTTAGGTGTGTGTGTGTGTGTGCTTAATAATCAATCAAAATCCGTATAAGTTAGTACCTGTGTGACTGAAAACATCAAGTCCGGGCTGCAAGCTATCAAATGTGGTTTGGTCCGAGGTAGCAATTGGTGCTTGATGCGCCGAAAGACGCCATGGTTCAGCCATCCATGTTTATGCAGTTGTGACATTAAGCCGACGTATCATTGCTTTTAATCAAGAATAAATTGATGTTCGGGAAAAGAAGATAGACGTGAGAGAGACATCCTTGCAAGCTGTTCCAGCTAACGGACATGGACATGAAGAAGCAGGACTTCACTTCGGATGGTTGGTGAGCCGTAGTGATCAGAAGTAGGCTTAGGAAGTGAGTGGCACTTAGGGATTGGGTTCCATCTAAACTAGGCCTACATTGCTTGGTTATCGAGAGTATTATTAAGAGCGGAACATTAATGTTGCAAGGCTTGGTCTACTAGGAACACCTGTTTCTTATTAAGACCACGCATGCATGAATGAGATCCTTTCATGTGAGGGGGCAAATCAGGACAGTATGTTCCAAATCCTCAAGTGGTTTTGTAATAAAATTTACGCATTTGTTAAATGTCACACACATAAAATTTTGGACCGCGTGAGTCGATTTCGGACGAGACCGAAGGGGAGATGACATCACGACCACCAGCGGTGTACATTAACCCCGACTAGGCCTCGCCAGAACCTCGTCGGAGACACGGGGACAATGCTGTGACCTGCAGCGTTCTAGGCGGAGGCAAGGAGGGAGGGGGGCTCGCCTAAAAATTTGTTCGCCGATAAGGTTTGCAGGGATGACCAAGGTGGCAACAGCACGACGGGGGTGGGACACCATTGGAGTGCGGGTTGGCGGTAGGTGGCCCAACCCGTGGTTGATTGATCGAATGCAGGGGAGGTTCAAGATACATCGTGGCCGTTGGATCATGATCCAATGGTCCAATTGTTTTGATTGGTGCAAGATAAGGAATTAAAGAATTTGACTAATAGGTGCTTCATAAAAATTATGGGATCCAATAATCTAAACTATGCATGTACAGTTTTTTTTTCTATTTTCAAGTACCTGATTTTCTTTTTGTGTTAGCCACCTTCTTTCTTGCTTGCTTCCTTCGTATATTCTGGCACGCCAGACTTTGCCGGAGAAGAACAAACGTCGCCGGAGAAGAACAAACCCTATCTAGGTGGGGGAGCCATAACCTCATTATCTATCTCAGGGGAAACCACACCCCCATTCTCTATCTTCAAGGGCGTGTAGGGGATCGTCGGAGGTTTTCATCAGTGGTGTCGGCCTTAGAGCGATGGTCGGGGCGGTGGGCGGTGATTGAGGGAAGGGTGGGGGCGGGGCGGCAAGGGGTGCGCAGTAGCGCCGCTTGCCGTGGGTGCTGGAGGCCGACAGTTAGCGTGGGGCAGGTAGGTGGCGGCGTAAGGAGGAAGAAGGAAGGAAGGAAGAAGATGAATAATACACAATCTATTATAGGCCGTTGGATGAAGATCCGGCGGTCCAGATAAGAAGCGGCCCATGCAACCGTTTTTTCCAGGTACGTGACAAACAAAGCATCCTTGCATGTACTCCCTCAGTTCTTTTTTACTCCACGTATAAGTTTTGGTCATAGTCAAACTACACAAAGTTTGACCAACTTTACATTAAAAAATATGAACATCTACAATACTTAAACTATATAATATGAAAATACATTTTATGGTGCATTTGAAAATGTTGATTTCATATTATGAATGTTGATATTTTTTAATATAAAGTTAGTCAAATTATGCAAAGCTTGACTTTGACCAAACTTTATATACAGACCAAGAAGAAACGGAGGGAGTACCGTGTTTCATTTTGGTGCCTAGCCTAGGCATATAGTATGATTTGGAAAAGCCATGGTACCACAAACGAACTGAAAATTCGCAAGAACTCTGTTGTATCTCGTCAATGGAGGACTAAAGACTGCGACCGATCGAAAGAGGGAGACGAATGCCGGTGGTTGGACGACGGCGGGGCCATGAACACGCGCGACAACGTAGGTCCGTCGCAATAGATTACACCGGGCGAGTTGTCAGGGCCGGGGATGTGAGGTTTGAAGCCTGTTGCAGTTCACTGTGCGTCCAGAGCTCCAGATCCCAGTGCAGGAAGCAACGCGTCATGCTTGACGACCAGCCAGCCTTGCCATTCTCTTTTCTGTTTACACTGGTCTACGGGGAGCCAAGACTTTGCAACAGGGCGAGGAGCCGAGGAGGAGCTGGCCATCTTTGACGCGGCTCCTCCATGACCTGTCCGGCCGGCCAGTTCGTCAGGGATTCACATGCCCACATTCACTGCGTTAACCCCACCCAATAAATGGATCCAACTCCCCCGTCAGTCCGTCGATCCAGCACCATGCCAACGCGCCCGTCGATCTGACCTTAATTTCTACCGCGCGCGAATAAATGGATTCCTCTTCTAGATGGATCATGCGTGCACCGTGGCGTCGTTGTGTCGTACGCGAGCGGACGCGGGGGATGCAAGAACAGATGGAGAATTGAACGCGGGCTGGGCCACCGGAGTAACTCCGGCCAGCCGGCGTGCTCTCCTCCCGGCCGGCCGCGATCCGCACGGCAGCATGTTAGTTGATCAATGCGTTGTTCTTACCGTGGTCCTGACCACGACGAGCGGCCGCATCTAGTCCAACAGCTCAATGCATGCTACTACCTGCTACACTCGACTGCAGCAGCAGCAGCGCCTTGCACTACTGACAGCACATGCATGAATGCATCTACTGTCGTTACGTACTGCCACATTGTGTATGTGACTCTCGTCGGTAGAGTAGAGGTAGGAGCCCAATGCTGAGGCGCCGGGAGCCATATGGTGTGCACCACCATGTTGAGTCAAGCATTCTCGACCACGGCACCACGCGTAATGTTGTGCGCGAACTGCTATTCTTTTAAGGATGTGGCTAGATCACAGTCGATTGAAATTTAATCAAGTCCCAGTCAAATGAGATAGTAGTATATAAGAAAAAAAAAGAAAAAGCTAAAATGAAATTTTTCACGAGCAAAGATCGAACGAATATAGCATCGACTGAGACATAACTAAGTCTTAATCAAATCAAGTGAGACTTTGCAATACTGTCCTTCTAACTAATACTATAACGAGGCCACGAAATCGTTCCTAATTAGTCACAAACGCATGCATATGCTGCTGTTATGTGCGCACGTGATTAATCCATGTCCCGATCGTCAACATAATTATTAATGGACCAGCGTATCGTATCTCTCTCTACTTGCTCATGTGTCATCTTGTCTGCTGCTTGGCTATGGTTTACATGCGTCTGCATGGCGGAGACGTCTCAACTAAAGGATATGCTGGCCGACTTAACTAAAGACAGCAACTGATCGTCAACCGCCAAACGGAGCTCTTCGTCCTATGGGGAAGGGGGGAATGCCTAACGAGATCAACATCTTCACCACCTTAGCAACTTGCTGTTAATTATAGGATGAGACGGCACGTATTAGGTCCACCGCAGATGACGTTGAGCGAATGCCGGTCATCTAGAAAGCCTCTCGGAAACGGGGGGCATTCAGCCATGGATAATTGTAGTCCAGCATGCCGCATGCAAGATTAGGAAAGAGCCGTGACAAGTGCGTCGCACCAACTAAACCGACCAACCAACAACAAGAAAACGGATACGGAGCCATGCTGCACCCATGAATGTTTCCCGCTGGCCGTCCAAATCATCGGCGATGTCGCATGTTAATGGGCGCGCCAAGTTGCCCCAGCTGCCGTCTACACCATCTCCGGACCGGACTAGCTAGCCACCTCTCGCCTCCACAGTCGTCCACATGGACCCCGTCGTTGCCCTGCGTCCTCTGCCCTCGTCCCTGTCACCACGGGCAGATTTGAAACATGGCACCCCTGACCCTGACTTTTTTTGCCAAAGGAATGTGTGTATAAGCACTAGTTTTCTCGTCCGAAAGTGCATCCAGAGTATTAGGTTTAG